TCCCGTTTGAGCGTTCTTTTGATTTGTGCGACAGACCTGAGTGCAGTTTCCTCTCGCTTCACGCCATTCGGGCAGGGCGGCACATACTGGCTGTCGTAGCCGTCATTCAGCCAAGCGTGACAGGTACACCCCTCGGCCCTGTGACGACCATAACAGCCTGCTCACACACACACACAAAGCTACTGCATGTCCGTGGTTTCCATCCTTTTCGTTCTGACGACTCGCCTGAAGCATTGTGCTGCTTCATGTTGCCCACATCAACAAGCAGCGTGTACACCACTCCCTGGCCGCCCTCAAGCTTGACCTTCCGGCGTGCAAATGCTACAGATTTCGACCTGAAACACACAGCCTGCATTCAAAGTGTGTTAGATGTGCGTTCGTGGGCTGGCGCACCTGTCGGCCGTGACGTAGAAGGCCTGGCCGAACATGCCTGAGAGGCTGAGGGAGAAGCCGTCCAGGTCGATGTTTTTGGACGCCTCCGTGTTGGTGCCGTGATAGACGATGTGATGTGCTGTCTTGCCCGTGCCTCTGCACGACCCGCAGCCGGCGGGAGCGTCCCCCTTGCATCGAAAACACGCCTCATCAGTCGACTGCCGCGAGGATGGGTTAGGCATGTGCAGACGGCGGATATCACCACAAATTCACAGAGATCTGGTCGCAGCAGACTAGAAGGAGTCGTTTCTGGACGGAGGAAGAGGCAGGAAATGAGTCAGTCGCGATATTCCTATTCCGATCGCCTCAACTGCGAGCTTATATCCGCCAGAGCCCTTTTCCCTCCTCCTTGTGTGGAAATGGGATGTGTGAACATGACGGACAGCAAGGCCGGTTGCATTCCTTTCCCCTTCCGCGATGAGAAGAGATGGCAAACCATCACCGCGCGGCTGAGGAAGACAGAGAATGATGGTTTATCCCATGCTGGGGACCTGCTGTCGCTCCTGAATGACCTCAGCCTCATTATGAGTCCAAGCACGAAGACGGCACCGCGCCTCGATGGCCTCCGCGTCGCTCTCAGTCAGCTGCCACCCAACCACCGAGAGGCATTCCTGTCGCGTACGGTGCGGGTGATGTGTCAGCATGTGCGAGAGCACTCCCCGTCCCTTCTGCAATGCATCCACACGCTGGATGGCCAGAGGCACCGGGCCCAGCTGTCGGCCTATCGGTGCTTCCTCCTCGTCGCTATGGGCTTCCTCTGCCTGTATCACGAGGACAACGGCACACACTGGTCGGGCCACCACAGCAGCACCATCAACTTCCGCCGCCTCTTCCCTCTCAAGGCCCCTAGTGCAGTGGCCAAGATGAAGTGCTTCATTCTGTACCTCAGCTCGATGGCCACCGCCGTGGAAGAGAACAGTCATCACTTGAACCGCGTCATCACATTCGAGCGGTTGTCGTTGACGCCTTCTCCAGGGGCGTCCTTCTGGAGCAGCTCGACAGCCCCTCTGCTGCCCGTGGCAGTGATGGGATGTGCTGACCGCATAGAGTGTTCGCCGGGCCTGCAGGCCGACTTCGCCAACAGAGTGCTCGGCGGGGGCGTACTCGCATCAGGTGCACAGCAGACACACACAGACAGAGAGGGAGGGCGTGGAGGCAATGGCCATCTGTGTGTGTGTGTGTGTGTGTGTGTGTGCAGGGAGTGTTCAGGAGGAGATTCGCTTCGCCATATCGCCCGAGCTGCTCGTCGCACGGCTTCTCATCCCGCCACTCAACGACACCGACGCGGCCGTCATCAGGGGAACAAGGAAATTCACCAACTATCAGGTATACGATGCGTTCACGCATTTCCACTTAGCCTATGAGTGCTGGTGATGGCTCATTTAGGGGTATAAGGACTCATTTCGGTGCGCCGGGCCAGCAACGAGCACCGACGACAGCTCGTTGGTGTGCGATGTCGTGGCCTTCGATGCCATCGACTTCTCGACGCCCGACCGACACGTCGATCAGTACTCCCTGGCCGCCATCCTGCGCGAGACCAACAAGGTCTATGCCGCCCTCAGTCATGGCGGCGGTGATGGACACACCCAGGCACTCGCAACAGGTGAGTCGATGGCACCACCAACAGAAGACCCCATGGTTTACACACTGTTTCTCCCATGTGTTGATTTGTGTCAGGGAATTGGGGCTGCGGTGTGTTTGGCGGCGATCCGCAGCTGAAGGCCCTCATCCAGTGGATGGCATCCAGCCAGGCAGGGGTGCTCATGCACTACTACCCCATGGACGACCGACGCGTTGCTCAGCTGGCCGATGTGGTGAGGGCGCTGGATGGGTGGACGGTGGGGCAGCTGTGGCAGTGGCTGATGCACAAGACACAGACCAGGGGACGTCGGCAGCAGGCCATCTTCGACACCATTCTGCGCCCCAATGCCACGCCGGTCAGCAGATGCATCAGTGGCTTCATCCGGAGCTCCCTGTGCATGTGTCTGTGTTGTCTGTGTGTGCAGGTCGGCGAGGTCAAGGTCTCAGCCGCCCCGTCTGCGCCATCCGGCCCCAACAAGAACAACCGGAACAAAACCACCACCACCACCACCACCAAGAACAACAACAACAACAACGACAACAGGATGCACCACCACCAGCATGGACCCAGGAACAATCAGCGGCCGGCAAGGGCCACGGTGCAGCGCTATCGGCCCTCACCCGACCACCCGCACGCACCCCCCAAGCCAGCATGGGGCACCAGCGGCCACGGCCAAGAGAAGGAGGATATCGATATGGAGGACTTCCCTTCACTCTCTGACGCCCGCAAGGCGAGGGGCAGCAAGCCACACCATGCAAAGGTGGGGACGTACGCTCATGTGCTGTGCTGCCGGTCAGGGCTTCACCGTCCCTTGTCTCTGTCTGCTGTGTCCTTCAGTTGTAGCTAGCTGCAATGAGTGAGAACGTAACAGTTTTGTGCCGGCCAGCGCGACTGCTTTTTTGTGCATTCATGTTTGGACAAGCGACACGTATGTCTGTTGATTTCATACTAACATACAAATGGGTCGTACCAGAGGGAAGGGAACTCTAGGGTTTGGGTATTAGGGTTTCGAAGGGGAAGACTCAGCGAGCGAAAGAGATCAATCCATCCTTCCATTGATTGATGCAGAGAGATGGATGAGCCACAGCCATGTCCAGCTGAAAGCAAAGGCCCTGATGGAGGTGCTGCTTCTGATGAATGGTGGTTGCTGCTCGCCGACTGCGGCGGGTGTCTGCTGCAGTGGCGCCATCCACCACTCTCACAACATCATGACACATCCGCAGCCCCAGGGGAAGACGCTGTTGGTGCGAGCAGCAATGGCGATGGACAGTCAGTGTCTGCTGACCGGCTGGGCAACGTCATTGCGGCGTGTGTGCATCTATCGGAGGAGATCGGCGAGGGACTCCCGCAACTCGCTGCTTTCTCTACTCAGGGGTCAGCCGGGGATGCGCTGCCTTGTGTGGAGAGGGCCGTCAGAAAACTGACCGTCTTGGGATACGAGGTATGTGTGAGAGAGAGAGGGAGTGAGTAGAGTGTGTGTGTCTTAGTCAGCCCCGTGCTGTGTGTGTGTGTTCAGGTGCATGTCTGCCAGCAGGAGGGCTATTATGTGGCTCTTGCGCGGCCAAGCCCACCATTACCGACCGAGGATAGGCAGGCCTGTTGTGGTCCGTGTATCGCCCACCTCCAATGCATCGCCGTGAGCAATCAGATGCCCACATTCCATGCCTGCTGGTGCACCGCCGACCTGTGTAATGTTATGGATCTGTCCAGGCTGCTGTGAGGGTGGAGGCGGCTCTGGGGGAGCGGCTGCGCTACTTGTCGGGGCGTGTCGCCGCACAAAGGGAACAGGTACTCAGACTTACTGAGCGGCTGCGCTACTTGTCGGGGCGAGTCATCGAGCATACCCTTTCGCTATCCACTCGCTGCTTGCAGGAGCTGCTGCATTACACGCCGCGGACGATGCTCGCTCTTGACGAGAACATGGCCACAAACATCACCAGTGGGCTCGGACAGACAGACAGACAGACAGACAGACAGCAGCAGCAGCACGTCGACGCACCTGTTTGCTTCCCTGACGTGCTGCAATCAATCAGGTGGGGACTCTCTGAAGCCAGCAGAACACGTCCAGATAGTGGTAAGACGAGAGAGAGAGGCAGGCACCAACAGAGGCCTCACATCCACCACTTGTTGGTCTGTGTGTGTACTGCAGGATTGTCTTCGCAAGTCGTCGTCGCGCCTGCTGCAGGAGGAGATCGCGACGGCGATTCGTCCCTTCGACACACGGCGACCTGACTTACACCAGCTCGCCATTGCGGAGGGCCCCAGGCTTCTGCTGTTGCTTGAGCTGGTACGAACAAGGTCCCTCTCACTTACAGGCGTGCATCTGTGGAAACTTGTTGTGTGTTTCCTTGTTGCAGTCTGAGGGGGATCCCTGTGCAGCGACCAACCATGCAGCTGATGGTTGGCAGGCGGCCGACCCACCCCTGGCCGAAGCTGCACTCAGTTGCATCCGCCAAGACGGACCGAACAAGACAGCCGGGACACCACAGGCTGCACGGCGTGACCGTGGGCTGATCGTATGGCACACGGCCATCCCCTGCAGTGCGATGCATGTCTTCCTCAGCACCAAGCAGGATGCGGACAGGGTGGAGGGGAATGATGCTCCAGCGCTGCCCAGTGTGGCAGAGGATGTGGATAGCTCAGACAGGGAAGGGCAAGATGTAGCGGGTGGGAGAAACGATGTGGCAGAGGTGCTGTGTGCTGTGAGTGGTGGCCTGCAGAGGTGCTTGGGGCTGATGAGCAGAGAGGAGGGGGGAGGGGGGCTGGGGTTTGGGGTGCCTGTGAGGAAGGAAGATGACTTCCAGCTGCATGTTGAGACACCCAGACCGATTGGATGACTGTTGATAGGCATTCAAACATTGTCTATGCGTGCACATGTATACGATGTCCGCAAGAGCCTCTCAGGTTATCTGAGGGACTATGCTCGCCCTCCCAATCGTGCGATCAACCAATCTGTCATGCTGCTAGGTGTTGGCAACAGGTATACTTGTAGAAGATCTTCTCCGCTCCCTGACCAGTCGTCTGCAGCTGGAAGCCTGACAGGCCTTCGTCGTTTTCACACAGCAGATGATGGTTGGCGAGTGCTCCCCACCACCCCCCAACCTCATCTGCAAGACGTGACAAGAGAAGAGACTCGTGTGTGGCACCAGTGTGTGCATCTGGCTGTCTGTTCTTTTGTTTTTGTCAAGTACCGGAGGGGGAGTTTGACACGAGTGGCCCGATGACGATCCATGCGACCTTCTCTTTTTTCGGATGAACCATGTCTCTGCAATGGGGAGGGGGGAAAGGGACACACAATCAGGTACAACGCTTTGTTGCTGCTTCTATTGTCTTACAGCGGTGTGCATGTCTCCTCTTGTATAAATATCTGGGCACCATCATCGCCTCGCTCATCCACGCGCAACTCTGCATAGAACAGAAGATCGCCAGACGACCTTTTGCGGCCCCGCATCTCCCTGATCAGCTCATTAGTGGTGTGTATGTGTACGTGCGGCATGGTGTCCGTTGTAAGTGACGATTGATGCGAAGAAGTGCGCCCCGGGGATACTGGATCCAAAGTCGATGGTGTATGGCTTTTCAGTCAAAGCGGCAGGCTGCACAACAGGGATGGTGTGCTGCTCCAGCCGAGACCGCTCGTATCGTGTCCTACCGTGATGCCTCCGTTCATTGTGGCCCCCACCGGCTTGCTGTCCAATTCGCTGTTGTGCGGATGGGAAAACGCCACCCAACCAACCACTGAACAAAGGAGGACAAACCAGTAAGTCGACAGATGGGGCAACGACGGTTTGTCAGTTGGCTACCTTCCTCTCCAAAATTGGCAGGATTCTTGGGGTCCTTGAGGTCCGAACCCTGTGTCTCCAGGGCGATTTTGAATGCAGTCGGGCTGAGGTCCTTCACGCGCTGCTTGACAAACACTCGCCCGGTGCTATATGTCTGCACCTGCACCCATGACCAAGCAGCCACCGATACCAGACCGGCACGTGCACACGCATCGCTCCTTACCTGCACGAGCAGGATGGGGACTTCCATAAACTGTGCATCCGGAGGAAAGGGCACCTCCACGAACTTCTTGTTGCCAGCAACAGACACGGTCCCGGCCGCCATCTTGACGCCACAAGGCAGCGTGGTGTCGAGAGTATGCACGCCAGCTTCAACGACCAGCCAGTCGATGGGTGTCCTCACGTGCCATTGGTCGCGGCACGGCACCGGCTCGTCCAGTCTGAGCTCGAAGGAGCCTGGCTGCACGTTGCGGATGCGGACAATGGCCTCGTCTGAGCCTCGCATATCAGGCACGCCCCCGATCACAACCTGGCACAACACAAAATGTCCATTGTTTTGGCTGGACCAGCCCATCATCCCGAAGGCAGTCGTACCGGCTTGCTGAATGAGCCTGTCTTGACCGACACCCACTCTGTGTTGTCGTTCTCGACGCTGCCGACCTCCAATGGGAGCACTGAAGATAAGGAAATGGAACACAATGGAAACAACCTCGCACGCTCCTGGCGTCACCACGACTTGACGTCTCACCTTCCTCTTTGATCTCCTGCTGCATGGCCTTGGTGAGGTTGGAATCAGACGGTGGTGTGGACAGCTCACGGCATTGAAGCGCGTCCAGTGTTTCGGCTGACAGTCCCTCATTTGCGGTACACTTGTAAGAATACTGGTAGGTGCTGTCGCTGGCCGCTCCCCCGGCACGCTCGAATGACAGCGACGTGATAAGACCCTTGTTGGGGCAGGACAAGCCCATCGACGACAGATACGACACCTCACCAGAACCTGACACACAGCAGACAGACAGTCCGAAATGCAGAATGGATATGATGCCTTCGGCCGACCAATGCTGGCAGACGCTGACACGTGGGCCTCCAGTGTTTGCTGCCCGGGCAGGGCACAGCATTCATAGAGAAACTGGGCCTTGCTGCCTTAGAGATCCAGACACACCAAAACACGAGTAGAGCTGGCCCATCTGAATGAGGCGCTTTTCTTGCCATACATCGATGGTTGACGTTGAGGTAGCGCACGGCGGCCGGAATGCCGTGGTCAACACACTCGATGGGATGGCTGGCAAAGCATCAAATGTCCTCACATGCCGTCCAATCGGTCTTCTTCTCAATGCATCCTGGCAGTGGTGCACAAACATCACTCACGGCATGGAATGGTGGTTCGATCTCTCGAGATCTGACCGGTGCCTCGCTCCGAGATGCCAACGCTTTGCAAGATCTCAGCCTTGGCTGACCAAGCCCTTCTGAAACAAAAGGCAGCCAATGATGACGACAGCAGGACATGCAGATCGGTTACCTTTGCAAAGCCGCACGAGCCGGGGAGAACACAGCTATGAAGAACGCCAAAAGCCAACTCATTGCGGGAGATACGCACGCGGCCAGTTTCGCTACCGATCGCGGCGAGAAAAATTATTCTCGACGCGACGAAGGAGACGGCAAAGTGAAAAAGAGATGTTGGGAGGAACAAAAGGAGCGAACACGCTCTGAATCCTTCTCCTTCGGATTCGTCAGTCCCCCGGGCCACCCCACCCTTCCCCCCACGAGACCGGCATGGTGAGCACAGGCACATCTGGCAGGGTGGTCCGAGGGCCATGGCAACGAAAGAGGGGCCTGTTCCTTGTGCCCGACGGTGGAGTGCCGGACACGCACAAGATCACCATCGGCGCCCATCAGGAGGCACTGTTGCTCAACTACATCAAGGAGACGGCGGGTGAAAGATGGCAAAAATAGGTTGAACAGAGGAACGGAATACATGTCATTGAATCTCAACTACAGGGACCCTTCTTGGTTGCTGGCCATTCCAGGTGCCTGGCTTCGAGGCTGTCGTCGGCTACGTGGAGACCGTCAAGGACCAGGGGATGCGGTGGTGTGACACGCCCTTCCCCAAGGTCCTGGCGGACAGGGGGCTGTCTGGGCGCCTGCTGATGGATAACGGCGGGGAGCAGGCCTGTCTGGTTGTGCGGATGGACTACCTGGGTGAGCAGACGGACAAACAGGGCAAGGGATCACTCATTCATGACAGACACTGCCTGTGTGTGTGTGCTGTGCTGTGCTGTGCTGTGTGGTCTGTCAGATGGTAGTAAATACCCGTCTATCGAGACTATCAACACCGACAGCGGAGAGAGGCACCACCGATGGCAGATTAAGGACTATGTGAAGGAGCTGCTCACGGCCCTGCTGATGGACCTGAAGGCCCACAAGACTGCCCTTGTGAAGCTGTCGCTCGTGTGCTGCGACAACGTGTCCACCGACACGTACTTCCACAACCAGTCCAGGTACGCCCACGCTGCCAACGCCTCCGAGTCGACAGGAAGGGGTCTGCATGGCGTGGAACGTCGTTGAACAGAGGACAAGTAAAGATCCCTCCCTAACGTTGGGTATTCCACCTCGCGCCCATGTGCTAGGATGTGTGTGCGTGTGTGTGTGTGTGTGTGTGTGCCCAGGCTTCGGCCACTTTCTGGCCGCCCACCGAGCCCTCCTGCCGCCCTGCGAGCCCCAGCAGATGATGCCGCTGCCGGTGGCCAGCCCGCCATAGACGACGACCAGGGATGGACGTCCAAGATGGTGGGGCTCATGAGCAGGCCCGGCAACCTGCGGTGAGGAAAATCCGATGCACACAGAGACCCATCCATGTGGACCAGGTATGTGTCTGTTGGATGCGTGTTGAATGTCTGTGTGCAGGGAGACCGTCGAAATGACGGTCTACCAGCAGGTCGACGGCAGCAACGTGGGCGGCCGCAACAGTGCGACAGAGGTAGCCGGCTGTGCATAGTGAAGCATCAAAATAGAGCAGTCTCCCAATCAGTTCTCTCTGTCCTTAAGGACCACCACGCGCCTGAGAAGGGCGTGTTGCCTGACGACACCTCCATAGTGTCGGTCTAGCGCGTCCGACTCAAACACGCCGTCGGTACGCTCTTCTCTCCACACCCACACAGACACACACACACAACGAGTTGAAGAATCATGACGCGATGACCTGTGAGCGCAGAGCACCCCCGTATCATCCCCTTTGTGTGAGCGCCCGCCCATGGCGCTGTACGTGCCGCCGTCTGCCGTCGCCAGGGCGCCGGCAGATGCCAAGGACATTGACCTCCACACCCGGGACTTCAACGCGGCCAAGAGGAGCGCCAAGCTGCTGGCCCTCAAGTTCCCAGGCGTAAGCAGCCTCACACTTGAGAGGGAGTTCCGTTGGATTGACAATACATGGCTTCCGTGACGTGTCCGTTTATGTGGCAGGAGGAGCTCAAGAAGCGCGTGGCTGCCATGACTGACGAAGAGCTCCGCGGCCAGCTGGCGCAGGGCCTCGAGAAGCAGAGAGAGGTATGCAAGCCAATGCAAAAGCCAATGCATTCTCTCTCTGTCTGGTGCAGTGGAGCACACCGATTCCTTCTCTTTTGATGTGTTGTGTCGTTCCTCAGAAGGTGCCCCTAAAGGCGCACATAGAGGCGCTGGAGGCCGAGATAAAGGCCATGAAAGAGCGCCTGGTACGCATTCGACATGCGCCGCACCACTCAGAGGTCTTTTGACACAAATGGCCAGTATGCTGTCTCTTTCAGAACGTCGAGTCGCGCCTGCAGGCCGAAGTGGCGGGCTTGAAGGCCAAGAAGGCCTCTCTGAAGGACACGGAGGAGGTGGCGGCTGCCAGCAAGGCAGAGCGCCACAGGGCGGCCACCAGCCCTACCGCCCCTCCTCCGGCCTCCTCCACCCCCGCTGCCGCCCCGGCTGCCACCTCTGGGCTTGCTGAGCCCCCACACACGCCGCCTGGCAACCCCCTCCCATCCCTATCAGCCCCGCCACCGGTCTACCTGCCCTTCCAGCCCGGCATGGCCGCAGGTCATCGGCCCGGCGCCCGACAGCGCCGAGGCCATGCAGGCCGGCTGGATGGAGGGGTGGCTGTGGAATGGGGTGCGGGGGGAAGTGTGAGTACACACGGAGGGGCGTGTGGGAGGCCAGGAGCGAGTCACAAGATGCCACAATGCGGTGGAAGAAGTGGTGTCGGGACCGCCTCGAGCAATGGTGGCCGTCAACCTCCCCCGACCAGCAGCCTCAGGTGCTGCCTCGGCGGCCTTGTGGGGGGCTAAGAAGAAGGGCAGCGGCCCTGAGTATCACTGCCTACTTTTTATATCTCTATGTCTCTCCTCCCTCTCATGTCGTACCGCCTGGAGAGGAACAAAAGGGAATTGCAGAGCACTTTGGTGTGCATGATGTCTCCCCTGTTCTTCTTGTGTCGACAGTCTCAGTCGTTGGTCATCGAGAGGCGTAAGGGGCCCGAATGAGACAAGACGGCTGGTTCTTCCCAGGCGGACATAAATGAATCTCCTCACCCTTGTCCGTTGTCCCATTCGACAAGTAGAGATCCCTCCCTAACGTTGGGTATTTCATCACCCCGCGCCCATGTGCTAGCATGTGTGTGCGTGTGTGCGTGTGTGTGTGTGTGTCTGTGTGCCCAGGCTTCGGCCACTTTCTGGCCGCCCACCGAGCCCTCCTGCCGCCCTGCGAGCCCCAGCAGGTGATGCCGCTGCCTCCCCAGCCCGCCATCGACGACGACCAGGGATGGACGTCCAAGATGGTGGGGCTCATGAGCAGGCCCGGCAACCTGCGGTGAGGAAGATCCGATGCACACAGAGACCCACCCATGTGGACCAGGTATGTGTCTGTTGAATATGTGTTGAATGTCTGTGTGCAGGGAGACCGTCGAAATGACGGTCTACCAGCAGGTCGACGGCAGCAACGTGGGCGGCCGCAACAGTGCGACAGAGGTAGCCGGCTGTGCATAGTGAAGCATCAAAATAGAGCCGTCTCCCAATCAGTTCTCTATGTCCTTTGCTCAACCCGTTCTCCCATAGGGCCAGCTCGACCTTGCAATAGGGCCAGCGCAGGTGGCTGGACACGCCCTTCGTGCGGCCCTACTACGACGGCGCCAAACGTGGCGTGCTGACGGTGGGCGACAGCAAGAAGGTCAAGTATGTCATGGCCATGGAGTACCTTGGTAAGCAGGGGCGGGCACAGAGCATCACAGCATGCATCCATCCGTGTGTGTATGGCTTGTGTGTCTGTGTGTCGGTCGGTCAGGTGATGACTGGACGATCATCATGGACTTCCAGTGGGAGTGCAACATACCCGCACTGCGCGAGGAGCTCGAGGGTGGGCCTGCTGACGCGAAGCCTCGCCGCCGGAGGGACGCGGCAAACTTCGTCGTCGGGGGCTTGCGCAAGCTGCTAGCCGGCCACATTCTCAGTATTTGGGCCCGCATGCGGGCGCTGAAGCTGGGCCTGGCTGGCACCGACCACGTGGGGAGCGACTACCTGATCCATCGGGTATGCTTTATGTCTGCATCGGTACTGATCTTTGCAGCTGGTTTGTTTGTTTGTTTGTTTGTGTGAGTGCAGGACACCGTCGATCGCATGACCCGACCCATGTTCGACGCCGATCCGCTGGATCCGCTGCTCCCCGGCATTCCATCGGTGGCCAAGTTCATCGACATCGCCAACACGATCCGCGTGGACGACGCCGTGGACGACGCCGACGCCCTGAGCCAGCCCCAGCGGCCCCCAGACTTCTGCCGGGACAAAAAACGCCCCGTGGCCTACCTGCCCTTCGACACGCAGGAGCAGAAGAGGATCGGGCAGCCAGTGGGCGGCAAGGTGCTCGCAGAGGCGCCCGAGTCGGCGCTGACCATGGAAGTCGCAGACGCCAGGGCCAGGCAGGGGCAGCAGCTAGGGGAGTCTCGCCGCCGGCTCTACTGTGTGATGGATAGCTACCTGGAGGAGTGCAGGAGGCGTGGATGGGCGATGGGTGATCACAAGGGCATCATTGTGGATGGCGAGGTCATGTGCGTCTTCGGCGAGGGCATGGCGCTGCTCGAGTCGATGATCAAGGACCCTCTCGTGGATGTCCTGTATCGATGGGAGGGCGCGAGCGACTTCACCAAGGACTTGATCTTCGGCAGGTGAAAGCTCTTTCAGTGGGAGGTAAGTCAGACAGAGCACGAGCGCGGCAGTCCCCCTGTACTGATTGCGTGTGTCTCTGGTGGCTGTGATGCCTACATTCTGCAGCGGACTCTTGCGGAGATCTTTGTCCTTGAGCAGGGCCGTCCTCGCAAGGCCAAGGGCAGCAGCGAGGTGTGGAAGCTGGAGGGCGCCAGCTCGTCCCGCATGCTTTTCCTCGAGACCATAGTCAAGTACGTCGAGTCCGTCCTGTCGCGTGCTGAAGGACTTGCAGCTGTGGCCGGAGGACCGCGGCACTCTGGAGGAGATGGCAGATTCCCTCCAGGTCAGCCTATTCCGCTGCGTGTGTGCGGGAGGAGGGAGGTTTCTCATGCGTCTGTGTGTGTCCCTTCTCTTCAGGTCGCCCTGTATGCCCTCGTCCAGCCGAGCGTCTATCAGCTCGTCTCGATGCTGACGAGTGGGGGTGGAGACGAGACGTTCGAGCCGCCGTGCAGAGGCCATTCCGGAAAGACGAGGGCGCTAGAGACCTCTCAGTGATCGCTGACTGCATTTTATATCATGGTGTCTCTTCCCCTGCAGCTGAGATTAGCACACCGGCTGGTGGAGGGGCGCCGCACCCGACACGTCTACTTGTTCCTTCTTGTTCCCACTGGTGAAGACAGCACCATACCCCAACTCGTCAGGTGGGGACAGGGTGAACGGAACCAACAACCAACATGGGTCACTCTGTCGGGGTGTGTGTGTGTGTGTGTGCGTCAGGGGCATAACGGACAGCCATCCGTGGTTGTGTGCAAAGTTCCTTACTCGCCGTCACTACACACACGAAGTGAGCGTGTCGAAAAGCAGGACTTTGACGAAACCCGTGAGTCGAGCCCGTTAAGCACCTCGTGCAGCTGCCAATGCACTGCCGCCCCCCGCAGTAAGAAAGCAGAACATTTCGGAAGATCTCGGTCTTCTTTGCCCGGATGTCTACGCCGACCGACGCTCAGGGATTGTTTGGACGAGGCACAAGCCGATCGCAGCCAGGACCAGCTCGAGGGGAGACAGAACAGCGACAGGTAGGTGGATGGCATTATCATCCTCTGCATGTGTGTGTACATATGTGCGTGTGTGTGGGTATGTGCTCACGAGAAGGCGGGCGGTCGCGGCGGCGTGCTGGTGGGTGCAGACGGCATGGCATCTGGTCGGTGGTGCGGGCCGGGCCAAGATATATGCTGGGCGAAAAGTGGAGCGACGCCCAGTATGGACATGAGACCTGGACCTACCTACTGGGGCTTCACTGTCTTCACTGGAGTGTGCACGCCCCAGTAGGTATGCTATGTATGCTGTGCTGCAGTTGACATGACAAAAGCACAGGTTGATGGCATGGCAGCCTTGACTGACGTGTGTGTGTGTGTGTGTTGTGTGTGTGTTGTGTGTTGATTGCAGGCCTCGGTGTCTACGGCACCCCCCGTCTGTGGCCGAGTGCTGTGGTGCAGGGTGTGTCCCGGCCCGGCTGGAGCCTCGAGTGACGCCACGCCCTGCCGGCGGCGGCGGCGCCGCCGCTCTTCAAGTTCCCGCCCGTCACCATCGGAGTCGGCTCATTCATGTCATTCGTTCATGTACTCGCTATTTGTCTCGTGGTGGGGAGGGGAGGAGAGGGCCGAGAGGGCGGCCGTATGTGCGTGTATGGGTAGTGTGTGTGTATGCGTAGTGGCTGGCTGGCTGGCGCATTGAAAGGAAGAGTAGTCCCAGGTGTCCGCCGCAGCACAAGGCGGGCGGCGACGCGTGATGACGCCCCAGTGGCCTTAACGGGCGCTTGGGGGCTGATTCTGTCGCTGGCTGCAGTGCTGGAGCGGCCCTGCCACCATCGAGAGGGAGGGAAGGAGGGTGGGTGAGGGTCTGTGTTCATTGTGTGCACACTCTTGACAGCAAGAGCCCTCAATACTGACTCATATACATGGATGTTGCCGTGCAGTGCATGGTAGACAGCCGTCAGTGGTGCACGATCTGGGGGAGGCGGCACGACCGACTGATGGTGTCAGACAGACGAGCAACTGCCACCCACACTGATTTGTCAGACAGCGAGCTGCCTCCTGAACATCACTGCCTACATTTTATATCCTGACTCGTCTCTTCTTGGCCGTGTGTGTTTCCGTTTGTCTGTGCGTCTCTTCCTTCTCTACCGATGGCCGAGAATGAACGTATATCAAGCCAGGTGTCACAAAATCCAGTCGACCACGCGGACCGAACTCGGCCATCTTTCCTCGTAGCATACTGTCTTGAGTGCATGGCCAGGTGTTTGGACGTGGCCCGTCCGCCCAGGTGTCTTGATGCTGCTCTAGAAGACACTGCACACCTCGCCGGCTATTTGAACAGTGACTCATGTGGGCCTGCTGACAGATGGATGAAACACGATGGACAGCGTTGACGTCTCGACGCTCTCAACTTGAGTGGCGAAGATCCGAAAAACTGAGCTCTGAGTGCCCAGCTTCATCGGTTTGCGTCTCTTGCAATGGATGGATCATAACACGGTCCAAATCGGCAAGCGAGCCTTTCGTCGATCGCTTTTCCAGAGAAGGCAAGCATGGCAAGTTCGCGCCGGAAGCTGCGACTCGAGGACCTCAAGCTGAGGCTGCCCGTCCCACGCCACGCCATCCCCCCCTCTGTCCTCGCCAGGGCGCCGCAGAACGCCGCGGACATCATCCTCGACCCCCGGGACTTGGACTCATTCGTGGTCAACGCCGCTGTGCTGGCCATCAAGTTCCCGGGGGTAAGCACGCTCCTTGGCACGCTCACATTCACAGCACAATGTCATGGGCAATTGCACATGGGAGGGAGTTCCGTGGCTAGATGATGCCCGTGATGTGTCTGTGTGGCAGGAACTAGAGCGGCGGCTCGACGCTCTGGGAGGGGAGGTGTGCGACGAGGTGTTCGAGGCCTGCAACAAGTGGGCGGAGCTCCAGCAGAAGGTATGCAAGCGGCCAATGCATGCAATGTATCCTATGTCGTCCACAGCACAGCACACTGTTCCTTTTCTTCTGATGTGTTATCTTTTGTTTCCTCAGGAGCGTGAGGCGGCCCTGAAAGCTGAGGCCGAAGCCCTCAAGGCCGAAATGGCGGCCATTAAGGAGCGGGCGGACCTGGTACGCATACGACAAGCGCCGCACGACTCGCAGCATTGCACACAGAGACCTCTCGCACATACGGTCCATATGGTTGTCTTACAGAGCGCCGAGACGTATTTGGAGGCCGAGGTGGAGGGGCTCAAGGGGCAGGTGGCCTTCCTCAAGGTCAGGGAAGAGCGGCAGGTGGCCTTCTTCGAAAGGCGCTGCCACCCGACCACTGCACCTGCCGCCACCCGCCCGCACCCCCGCGGCGCCCGCACCGAAGATACGAGCAGCTCACCACCACCCGCGGCACCACATGCCCCGCCACGCACCACCAGCCCTCCCCCTCAGTCGCACCACATGAGCCACCCATCGCCACACGTCCCCCCGGCTCCCGTCGCACCCCAGCAGTACCCATCTCCCCCTCCGTCGCACCAGATGGTGCACCCACCGCCACACATCGCCCCTGGACCCTTCCCACCCCAGCGGCCAACCTACCCGCCCCCCTTCTCGCCGCCTGCAGCACTGGCCTATCCGTTGTTTGCCGCCCATCGCAGCGCGTCGGCCTCACCGCCCCACCCACACCAGGTGGCCATGGTGCCGATGATGACACCGCCGCCCCGACGGCTTCACGAGCACCCAATGGTGAATCTGGCGATGAGTGCGTCGCCGTTCCCAGCGGCAGGCCAGCCGCATGGCAACCACCAGGGAGGCGGAGGGCCGGGCCAGTGAGGCACCAGGGGCAATGGCGAATGGATGGCGGACATAGCAGCGATGGGAGGGATGGAGAGGGAGGGAAGGGGAGTGGGCGACGACAGACAGAGAGCATCTTCGGGACCTTCGTTTGTGTGTGAGCGAAGAGACAGACAGACAGACAGACGGGAGGGGGGACTTAGCACTACAGACATACAGACACGAGTAGGGGAAGAGGGCTTCCATCCATCCACTTGGATGGTCTGTGCAGTCAGTGAATCGCCTGTGTGTGTGTGTGAGTGGCTGGCGGGGATTGACTACTTGAGTGGCTGCCGATTGACTCATGGCTGACGACGCCCCTTTGGCTGACATGACTGGCTGACCTGCCTGCAGTGCTTGTGTCTTGCCGATGAGTGTCACACAGACAGGGCACTGCCCCCGGCACCGCTTCATTGGTTTGCGCCTCTTGCAGTGGACGGATCCATGAATCAGCTAAGCAGATCGGAGCCATGCGATGCTCATGAGGCGCAAACCCCTCTCTCTGCGGTGGAGGAAAGGTGGAGGGAAAAGGCTCAGTGAGCTTGCAAGCTCGCACAAAGAAGGGATTCTGGAGGCTTTTTGGCAAGGGATATTGTCAGAGGCTGCGTGTGTTGGGGTAGATCCCGCCGTGTAATGCCACTGCATGCTGAGAACCCTGAGCACTCCGAACTGTCCCTCCTTCTCGTGAACCGTCCCTCTGGCTCATTTGTTGCCTTAACGGGCAACGACAGCGATCCTCCACAGCCACTCTCATCTACCGACATGGGCGCAGCAAGTCGTTCTGGCTGTCGCTGCTGAGCCAAAGATCTGCCCAGATCTTCGTCACCCCGTCGTCCATTCGACCTCCCTCGGTCTTCCCTCAGACCCCCACACTCGCCGCTCGACTCCCGTCGACTCCCCTCGCCTCCTGACCAAGCTCCGCCACGAGATCTACGACCAAGATGAGCGACTACATCAAGCTCAGCACCAGCGATGTACCAACCTTCTCCGGAGATGAGAAGGATTACCCTGATTGGGTACGGTGCTTCCGCACCATGCTGGGGTTCGAGGAATCGGCCCTGCTGCGGGACAAGGCGCTCGATGAGCAAGTGCCTATCTCGGTGCAGCAGACGAAGCTCGAGGAGCTTCTGACGCGTGAGCAGGAGATCGAGGACAAGGTCATCACCGCCGAGTACACCAAGGAGGTCAAGGAGGGAGAGCTGAAGCAGATGCACAAGCAGCAGGAGAAGCTGAGGGCATCCACTCAAGCGGCCAAGCGGCTCCACACGCTGCTCGCCTTCGCCTGCAAGGACAGCTCCGCCAAGTACGTCCTCGAGCAATACAAGGAGGGCGTCAAGGACACCTACGACGAGTTCGACGGTGTGCTGGCCTTCAAGAGGCTCAAGGCAAAGATGGAGTCGAACCCCGCCTTCGCAGAGTTCTCAGCGCAACGTGAATTCGACGCGTTCGCCTGGGACCTCAAGAAGTCGGCCCTGGACAACAACGCCGAGTTCAAGCGGCTGGCTGGCAAGGTCAACGCGCAGAAGGAGGTGCTCACGGCCACAGCGCTCAAGCACGCCTACATCAAGGTGGTGCCGACGGCCTACAAGCTGCCAATCAGCGAGAAGATCATCAAGAGCGACGTCACCCTCGACGACGCCATGGAGAGGGTGCGCAAGCTTGAGACGGCTGCAGCGATGATCGGGGCATCGCCTGGGCAAGACGCGAGCATGGGCGTCGGTGCGGCCACGACGTCAATGGACGTCGACGAGGGCGCAAGGGCGGCTAGTGATGGTGAATCCGTCAACTGCAAGTACTGCCTCAACGACGGCCACCACCATTAGGACTGCAAGCGGCTGACGCACGACAAAAAGATGTACGGCATCACCCTCTTCCCGAGCAGCCACCGCATGAAGCGCACTGCAGAGCTGCTCAACAGCCACCTCGAAGAGGTCGAGCGCAGGGAGAAGGAGCGCGTCATCAAGGACAACAACAAGGGCAAGAACAATAAGTACAACAAGGGACATGGTGGTGGTGTGCGTTGTGATTGACATCGTCGGCGCGAGACGCCACGAGACGACCAGTGGAATGCTAACCGACACAGACGCAATCGCTCACTCACACCGGTACAGGGGAGAGAGGAGGAGCACACAGACGTGCATGCTCTTAAAGAGAGGCAGCATAGCGAGGTGCACACACGGTTGGATGGCTGCAAGGTCTCAGAATCCTCGCGTGACGTGGTGATGCCACCGGTCGGGAACGATCGACGCGCTGAGACGACTCACGACACACGGACATGCTTGTCCGGGAGAGAGCCGTGCGTAGGGGAGGGAGATCGGGTGAAGCCTGATCAACTTCTGCCGGTCTCCACTTCCCATCGACTCGCAGCTGAGGAGGGGGTTCCCTCAGTTGTCCAGTGCACAACACACATTGCATGCTTCACGTCTGCTGTGTTATCTGTGAAATCCAGAGCACTGGTTGATTCAAGCTGCAGTTGGCATGTCTTTCCCTCTTCTCGTTACTTCATCAGCTCGAGACACTCGTGGGTCGCTCTCTGACCGTCGCGGACGGCAGGAGCATCGCCGTGACGGCGGTGGGGGAAGTGGTCGTTCCCGTTCGGTGTCGCCACGACGTGGCGCCAAGGTACATAGGAACATCGTGTACTACCCACCTAGACAGGTGTGGTTCCCTCGCCGTGGAATCGGTGAAACTCT